GGCGACGTGCATCTACACCAGGCCGACCTGCATGAGCTTGTCCTCAGCCAAGTAGTCCGAATAGAGAAAGCCGACCCCCGCCCAGGACTACAACATTTCCCGAACCTTTAGGTCCAAGTAAGTGCCCAGATCCTGAATGGCGGCCCTCCAGTGGGTCGGAAAGGGCCGCCCCTCGGGGTTGCGAACTACAAAATAGCCCCGCTTCTAGGCCGGGATCCTATTGGGTAGCTCGTGGAGGAGCTTGAAGCCGGGACGGGGGGAAAAGTAATAAGAACGCCTTTCTGGAGGGCCTCCAGGGGAGGCATTCTTAATTGACAAAATGGTGGCAATGATATCAAGGGAAAGAGGAAGACAGTACTCAAAAAACAAGGAAATAGTCTCCACTAGGTTCCGAACAGAGTTCGGGTGTAGTTGGTCTATGGTGATATTAAAATGGCAAAGAACCTCCACTATCAGAGGGCGTAGCGGGAGTCGGAGACCAGCCACGAGCTGCTCCTCGAAGATCACGATCTCGTCGTGACCATGTTCCTAGGGATAGTTGCTAGACGGGAGACTGTAGATGAGATCCCTGGGGAGGTCATACTGAAAAACTAAGGCCCAAAATCTCTCCATTGAGGATGGGTCGAAGCTATCCCGGGAAGTAGAAGCAGAGTTACCAAAGGCTTCCCGAGTCTCCGAAGACCGTCCTTCAGGGTACCTAGACATTGTTTGGACAGAGTAGAGGACTAACCGGAAAAGTGGACTGAGAAAGCAACGAAGAACGGGGAGAGCTCGAGCAAACAAGGCGAAGGCACGACCTCAAAACCGAGTGCAAGGCAAGTTGGCGTAAAGAAAATGAGGCATGGAGCCCTCCTATTTATAGCCGTTGTGCCCGAAATCTAACGGTCTCGATCAAAGCAGATCCAATGACTTACAATAAATCCGGTCGCACGTCTTCTGAAACTAAAGTAAAGACGGCTGCACATCTTCCCAAATTCAAGGCAGTTTGGGGCATTTTTTGGTGCCCGAAAAATCCAGAAATTGCCTGACACCCGCGCATATACATCATGCGAACAGTCAACCTAGTTTGAATTATGGGTCAGATCCACCTGCCATTTCATGAACTCCCTGCGCTAGAGCAAGACCCTTAGCTTGAGGAGTGGGGGGCAATTGATGGAGGGTGATTTAACCCGACCTACTAACTGGGTGACACGTGGCCATGACTCAGCGTAAGTGACAACTTAGCATGACAACTTGGCCAAAACTCAGTGTAATGAGCTCGCTGAAACCCTAGTAGAATAGCTTGCCATAAAACAACTCGCTATAGCTCAAGGCAGCTCGCTACAAAGGAGTTCACTACAAGGGATCTCGCTATAAAGGAGCTCATTATTGATTAACTCGGAGTCTTCGGGAAACTTCCTACTCGACAAGACCGTGCTTGTCAGACTGCTCCCATGTCTCTTGTCTAACGGCGCAGCACCTGCTAGTCTAGAGGACTGCGCCCATGTCTCATGTCAGGCGGCGTGGTACACGCCGGCTCTACATAACATCTCTCAACTGACAGGACCGTACTCTGGGATGAATACTTGCCCCAATCGAATTAGACTGGCGAATAATGATTGTAGCAGAGGATCAAAGGCAGTTACACCCAATTTGACAGAACATCAGTATATAAAGGTCCCGATTTCCAAGGGATAGGGGACTTCCACGAAATTGATTTTGCGCTATCTGCACTCTTAGCTCTCATTGTATTCTCTGCAATTCTCTCTCAGAGTTCTAACTTAAGCATCGGAGTGTTCCCGCCGGGCGAACTCCCTAGGAATCCTTCACTGTCTTCTCCATCTCAGGTACTGTCCATTGCCAACTAGGAGCTAGGCCAGTGCCAACTAGAAGTGACTTGATCGCACTACATCAGAGTCGATCTGAGGTCAGTTGCATATTCTCAAAGTTCTCATAGAACAAGGTGTTGGCTGAGGAGTCATTATCTACAAGGATTCTCCTGACCTCATAGTTGGCAATCGTCAAAGAGGGCACCAATGCATCGCCATGAGGTAAAGGAACCCCTCTCAAGTTGTTGTCGAAGAAGGTGATGACATCTTCTAGCTTTTGTTTTTTCGATGACCTGTATTTGACTTGCAATTGTCGAGAATAAGTCTTCTAGGCATAGGTGTTGTCACCTCTCAACGTGGATCCGCTAGAAATTACATTGATGACCCCTGCAAGGGGTCAGTTGGCTTCGGGGTCAGCTAAGGTCGAGGCTGACCCTATTGGGATCTCACCATTGATGTAATCTTTCAAATGTCCCTATCGGATAAGGGATTCTATCTCATTCTTTAGTTTATAGCAATTCTCTTTGCCATGGCCTATGCCATAATGGTACTTGTAGAACTTTTATGGATTACTGCTCTTAGGGTTCTTTTTTAGCTTGGCCAACCATTTCATATACTCCTACTTCATGACCTGCAAGCAAGGTTCTAAATTTTGATACAGGCTGATACATCGGTAGGCCAGGTGTATCGGCCTGTATCGGTGCTTTTTTATGTGTTTTATTTATTTTTTTCAAAACCAGTTCAGAGAGGTCGGTTTAAGTCCTGACTACCCTCTGAACCATGGTCTGACCCAATACACCACCTTTAGGGGCATATCGACTATTAACTAATACGTGATAAAATTTTGAACCTTACCTACAAGTAACTAGAGTCACGAGCGGCTTCTTCCTTTCCCACCCCCAAGTAACTAGAGTCAAAATCAATAACAATTCTAAATCGTGATATAATAGTGATCCACCCAAAAAAACTTCTTAAAACTTCCTTCTATATTCCACCTCTCTGTCCCTAGCCTCTCCTCCTTTTATGTTCGCACCCAAAACGTTTTCTCGGTTTTTATTTTATTCCATTTTCTAGGGATTCCAAGCAACTAATGATGTACAGCATGGACCGTATCACGTTCAACAAGAGCTATAGAGTGAAGATGACCCACTGTTTGTGAAACTCAAAACATTGATCGAATGGGGAGTAAGTTATTTTTACCGTTCAATTAATAGAAACTGATGTTCCCAATTTGCCACTTCACCTGTTTTGCTTAGAAAACCTCTCCCCTTATTTGATTAATTCACGTTGAAAATGGAAGTGGTTAGAGCAAAAATAAATAAATAATAATAATAAAGAACCCGGATGGGATTGTCTATCTCAATTAATTTTCAGATTGGGTGGTTGATCAAGATGGTTTCTAGATAATTGGGATCAAAGTTCATGATTTCCTTGGACATGCTATGATCGGTCTAAATGTCACAGCGTGTCAAGTGATGATGGTATCTAGGTCAACAGGTCGGGTCTTGGGTGGTGTTTTGGGTCTATTACTTAAAATATCAATAATAGAACATGAAATACCTTAATGAAATTAATAAATGATAATTAATAGTAAAATGAATTGAAATACCTTAATGAAATAATATTTACTTACTGTTAATGTATTACTACTTAATGAATTATTGTGAATTAAATATAGCAGTAAATTATTCAAATTTTTTTCACAGAATTTATGAATTGTTGGTAATGGGATGACAAAAGGGAATGATGTGATGTACACATTTCTTTTTAATTTTACGTAATTTTACTAAAAACTTAAATTTTTAGTAATTTAAATTAATTATTAATTGTTGTTATTAATGATAAAAGTAATTTTTTATTAATATAATAAAAATAAATTAAATGATAAAGATTAAATAATCAATAATATTAATAAAAATTTTTTTTACTAATAGAACTTATGAAATTAATTAAACTATATTTTATTATAGTAAAATAAATTAAAAAGTAATATCCATTCAAAATTAATTTGAATTTAATATAAATTCTTGGAACCAACCCCCTCATAAATTGATTATAGGGTCTAGGGATTTACCCTACCTAAATTGGCTTAGAAAACTGGCATTGATTGGCATTGGTGGAGTTGGCCTTGAAACCGAAATTACCTTTAAAATGAATCCCAATATACTTTGAGGATGTAAATATTTGAACCCAAACACTTATGATTACATAGACCATCCATGGCCTCACTTGACCATTGAATCAATTAAGCTGTGTTTGCTTTGAAGGAAAAGGTAGGGAAACTCATACAAGGAAGGTTTCCCTACCATTTCCTTCATTTATTTAATAACCATTTAAAAATAGGTTAGAACTTGGGAAGAATTAACCCGAACCTGACTGAACACAACTTGAGCCCAACGTGGCTGTAGTAAATGAGAGTGGATTAACTGAAGATAAAAACATACACACCCGGCTGAAGTACCTATCACGGTTGAACACGCCAGTGTTCAGTATAGCTGGATCCCAGATGGATCCCACAGTGAGCAGTGGCGTGTTAATTCAGCCGGGTGTGCATGATTTTGCCTCCAGCTCATCCGGACTGCATAGTAAATTAGTATATAAATATAATATGCATGAGAGTATTCAGTGTGCCTGGCCTGGCCCAAATAGTAGAGGGCCTCTTGGGATTTGGGCTTGGCCGGTTACCTGAAACTGCTCTTACAGGCCTATGAAAACTTGGGTAGGGACCAGATCAGCCCATGTTCATTCCTAGTCATACCTTTTCATTGGGTAATATCTAAATTGGGCCATCTACAAATTGCATCCATTCTGGTATCCCAATGTAAAAGCTGCCAAGCTCATCGAATAATGAAAAAAAAAAAGAAAACGAAACAAAAGAAAGTTAAAAAATATAAAATACAAATAAATGTGGGACAATGAATGTTCAGTCCACCCCGAGAATTCTTAACCCCACCGTACAGCCAGGGTAGGTGTCATTTTGGAATTGATGCCAAATTGCCAATACACGGGCAGGTATTGGTGTTTAGGGTGGGGTGTTTGACATTTTGAATTGTTGTAGGTTTGCGATGGAATTTAGAATTCTGCAGTGCGGTGCAGTGTACTCCGAATAAATGCTAACCGAACAAAACCCACTGTTGATTTCACTATCATTAAATTGAAACTCTCAGTAAAGTTGGTATTTGGTCCTTGCAGTGTCTGAATGTTTGTCCCATTGACAAGTATTTGTATTAGGCCATGGCCATTGGCCAGGAATTGGGATAGAATATCTCTCCATGAATAATAAATACAAGTACGGGAGATGTTCCTGATATATGACCAAGACATGCTGTGAGGCGCGTTGTGTGAGGAGCAGATCCGGACTCATTGGCCAGAACACAAAGATCAGAGTAGTGGATTCACTGGTAAAGCTTGAGATTTGACACTAGGAATGCAATTCAAGCCAACCATTCATACAGTAAGATGCATAAGAGGACGAAGGCATGTCAAGATGTCGAGCATTTCTGTCCATGAGTCCGAAATCCAAGATAAATGTCCCTGATTAAATGTAGTTCCTTGACCACATCTCTCATGTCCATCCGTTCCTTTGGTGACTCCATTGAGCAGGAAACTCCCACTCTAAGCACTGAAACCAGACAATCCTGCACTCTATTTCTCATTCTCAGACTATAACTATTGCTACTAGCAGCTTCTATTCCTTCTCCTTCATCTTCTCCCATTTGGAGAAGCATTGGATCTACGACCTCCATCACTCGATTAGGCAAAGACATTTTAGCTATGTGATGAAGATTTGAGCTCTCTAGGAACATTTCATCAGTGGGTCTTTTTCCTATAAACAATTCCAACAAGAGAATTCCATAGCTGTATATGTCACCATGAGTTGAGACCTCTGCTACCAAACCATACTCTGTAAATCAAGAATCTCATGTGAGTATTATGAAGGAAACCAAGTGTGATCAACATTATGAGTATAAAACTATGATAATTTTCTTAAACCAGAGAATTAAATAGGACCACAGAAACAGAGGTTCACATCCATGAAGTAGTCTGTGAATGTCATTAGATGGCTCCAGATGAATAAGAAATAAATATGTGATCATCTAAACAAATATACATACCTGGAGCAGCATATCCAATTGATCCTCTAATGCCAATCGAGCCGGTTTGATTCATAGAGAAGTTGCCAGTGTTTTCTGAAAGAAATCTTGACAAACCAAAATCACCCACATGGGCAGTGAAATTGTCATCAAGAAGGACATTGGTAGGCTTTAAATCACAGTGAATAACTGGCACTTGACAGTGATTATGAAGATAATCTAAAGCAGAAGCCACATCAATTGCGATGCTTAGTCTTTTAGGAAGGTTTAAGATTCTCAATTGATCATGTGCATCATCTACTTCTGGATGCAACCAATTCTCTAAAGCTTTGAAATCATTGCCCTCGAAGTCTATGCTTGAACAAGAAGTTATGATCTTGATGAGATTCCGATGTCGAATATTTCTCAAAGATTCACACTCAGCTATGAAGCTTTTCAAAGCCCCTCTCTGTTGAAGGTTCAATACCTTCACAGCAACCACAGTTTCCTCTTCACCCAAAGTTCCTTTGTAAACAGAACCAAAACTACCCACACCAATCAAATTAGCTGAAGAGAACCCACCGGTTGCTCTGAGTAGCTCTTCATAAGAAACTTTTGCATGGCCATCCTTTATAAAAGATGTAGAAGACAGAGTCTCTTTTGGCTTTTTTGTCCAGTAATGAACTAGTATAGACAACAAGACAGAACATAGAAGAACCACACTGATACTTGTAGCAATTATCAGCTTGGAAGCAAGAGAAATTCCTGGACTCTTTGACTCTTGGAAATGGCATGCCTGCAGATGTAGTTCAGGAATCCCTCCACAAAGCTTATTGTTTCCAATGACTGAAAAAGCACTTCCATTTAGAAAGATTCCTTTAATTGGTATCTCACCCTCAAGATCATTGAAAGACAAATTCAACCTTACTAGAGAGGAAAGTTTTTCTACAAATGCTGGAATCTTGCCTGTAAAATTGTTGCGTGATAAATCCAATTCCTGAATACCTCTTAAAGAACCCAATGAAGAAGGAATAGGTCCTTGAAAAACGTTCCCCTCCAAATAGACATATTCCAAGCTCAAACATTCACCAATTGTGATTGGAATTTCACCTGACAATTTGTTCTCAGAAAGATCTAATATCCCAAGACTTTTCAAGTTACCCACTTCCAAAGGCAGGGGACCAAGCAATTGGTTTTGGGCAAGGTTTAGGCAAATTGATAAAGATGAAAGACCAATAACTTGTTTGGGTACTGTACCAGTAAGATTATTGTAAGAAAGGTCCAAATAAATCAAACTTTGACAGTTACCCATGGATGGAGGTATGCTACAATTGAGATTGTTGAATCCTAGAGCAAGGATGTTCAATAGTGTTAAATTTCCTAAAGAAGATGGTATTTGCCCAGACAAATGATTTCCAGACAAAGACAACTTTTGTAACATTTGAAGCTTCCCAATGGAATTGGGAATACTACCTGTCAATTGGTTGAACTCTATCCCCAATACATTCAAATTTACCAGGTTCCCAATCCCTGTTGGGATTCTTCCTGACATTTGATTATATCCTAATGTTAATGTGACCAGTTGGGTTGACAGATTGGATATAGAAGTAGGAAGCACTCCTCCAAAGTTGTTACCATCCAGACTTAACACTTTCAAACTAGTACAATTAACCAAGGTGGTCACAAAACTCAGATCATTTGCATGGCCACTCCCTAGCTGATTCTCACTCAAGGCCAACCAGGAGAGACCACTTAATCTCCCAAAGTTGAGAGACACTTTCCCAGTAAAATTATTCTGTTTTATGTCAAGAAATTCAAGCTTTGAAAGATTGGACAAGGAAACTGGAACTGTTCCAGTAAATTGGTTTCCTCCGATATTAAGAACTTGAAGATCAGGAAGGGTGAAGCCTATATCCATTGGAAGATTCCCTTGAAGATGATTAGCTACCAAAGAGAAAGTAGAAATGGATGAAAGATTGTACAAAGATGGAGGAACAATACCAGTCAGTTCATTTGCACCCAATGCAAGAAATCTCAATCTTGTTAATCGGCTCAGTGATTCAGGAATACTTCCCTGTAAACTATTTTTTGATAATGAAAGCGTTTCAAGGAATGAAATATTGCCAACAGAAGATGGGATCTCYCCTCTCAAATTGTTGTGATGAAGTCTAAGGTTCTCTAGCAGTGACAAGAAGCCAASTTGGGTCGGAATGTTACCTGTGAGATTGTTGTTATCTAAAGCTAGATATATGAGGCTGGAGCAACGAGAAAGATTGGATGGGATTTCGCCTTGCAATGAATTATTACTGAGATCAAGTATGTTTAGCCTGAAAAAATTGCCAATTTCTTGTGGAATTTCACCATGTAATCTGTTGCCTTGGAGCCTGATCTCGCTGAGGAAGCTGAGATTTCCTATGTCTGGTGGTAAAGAACCCACCAAGCCTTGTGAACGAAGGTCTAGGAGCCTGACCCTTCTTGGGTATTGCCGAGTGCTGCAGGTGACACCTTGCCATTCACAGTAGTGCAGAGAAGAATTCCATGAGCTCATCACGTCAAATGGGTCATGAGTGACACGAGCCTTGAAGGCGAGCAAGGCTGTCCGGTCCCTCTGGCTTTCTCCTGGACCAGTGGTGGTGGTGGTGGTGGCTCTGGCGGTGGCGGAAAATGTTGATTGTCGGACATTGATGGACAAGAAAGAGAGGAGGATAATATGGATGCAAAGCAGCAGGCTCATTGTGTTGCAGAAACAAAGAACCAGATAGCTACCATGTTTGGGCAATGGAGCTGTAGCTGTTTAATTTATTGCACAACTTGGGCACAATCAGTTCTCATGATGCTTCAACCTTCAAGTTTCAGCTTCAATGAAAGACAAAAGGTCAACTTACCCAGAAAGAAGAAAAAGAAACAATTCCATGGTTTTCAGCTCTGTCAAGTCATAGACCACAGACTTGGCTGCATGTGTCAAAACCAGGCCCATATCCAGCACTATCCAAATTAAAAGAAAGAAGAAAGGGATGAGCTTGAGCTGTCCTTTGTGCAATGAACATTGAATCGGACAAAATTCTTTCCTGTCTTTGATACTTAAAGCCCAACTGTGCGAGGAAGTTGCTTCTCGACAATCTTCTTGGATGGCTCATCGAAATGGACTCCAAAAAATATCCTCCACTCTACTGCTCGCCACTAAAAGTTGTGTTGAGTACAGAGTACCGGCCACACCTTGAATTTTTTGTGACGACCCGCTTCATGAATATGGTCTGAATTAATTTAAGAAAAATTCAAAGGCAAAAGTTCACAGTGGTTTGCAGTGGAAATGTAGGGTTTGGGCCACTCTGAATTATTTCAGGGTTTTTTCTCTCTTGTATATTTTGTCTTTGTCTTGTGAGAAGAGGGAGACTTTGGGTGTATATGGGTTTAAGTTTTCTATGAGTGAGGTTATGAGTGCACAACTCTGTATTTCTCTTCATTATTGATTATATAATTGATTTTTTATCCTCATTTGCCCGTGGACGTAGGTTATAAGCCGAACCACGTAAATCTGTATATTTTCTTTGCTTGCTTCTTTTTGTTTTTATTTTTCTTTTCATTTTAGGTGCCATTTGAATATGTTTTTCTTGGGTTTTTCGCAACAGATTCAATTCAAGTTCAATCAATTAATTATTTTAAGTAACTAATAAATATTTTATTTATATAAAATATATAAATACATAAATTATTTATAAATTAAATATTATATAATATTTAAGTATTTTATATATTATAAAAAAGCATTAAATAACCAGCCAAATTCGAATATTCATCAAACTAAATGAGGTCCTATCCAAATTCAATCAATTATTACATTTGAATTATCCAAATTCAATTCGATTATATTGAATCTCAAATTTAAAATCAAATTTTTGAATAATATTAACACCCCTAACGGCATAACTAGTGGCGGATGACTAGGTTTTAACACAAAGTTTGGGGTGAAGGACCCCACCAATATGGTTGGCTCCTTCCTCGGACATAAAGGGCCTAACTTGTTAGAATTGGCCTAGAAGTACAACTGTAGTTGATAAGAACTGAGGAAGATGATACGAATTTAACCCAGCCGTCCTCCATTCGCATTCCCACCAGTTCCCACTTTGCTGACTTGCTGAGTTGCTGCGGCTTTGTTGGTTCTGGGTTGCCTAAATTTTTGGGGTTTTTACCATTCAGTCCACGCCTAGGTGGAGTTATTAATAGACTAGGGGTGGACTGAATCCTGCCCGTGGATTGATGCCAAATTCAGGGGCAGGATGCAGTTTATAGGAGGGCTACTAGTAGACTAGGAGGGGTCTGCAAATTAGACTTTTGAGAGGGATTGCAGTCCAAAAATCCTTAAATTATTTTTTTCTCTAACCAATCCAGACCCAGTCTTACCCTGTCGACATACGCTCAGTTAGATCGGCTTTATGGATGCTCACGGTCTGATTGGCCTTTTTTTTAATCGAATCGGTACTACTGGTTATTGGAAAATCGGCAATTGAAATTAAACTGAAGCCAATCGATTAATTGGTTGACTAGTTCAATTAACCGTCGGTTTTTGATTTTTTTTATAATATATATATTATAAAAATATATATAAATTATAATTTTTATTTGTATTAATTACTAACTATTTTAATTGTTATTAACTATTAAACATTTTAATAATTTTAAGATATTAATTTGCTAATTATTAAATATTTTCTCATTGCTTCATGGACTTTATTACTATTTTCATTATTATTTTAACTTTTAATTATTTATTTTTAATTTATAAGTTTATATGTGTTTTTAAATTTTATTCTTATTTTAATAAATTATTTTTTATTTTTTATAATCTATTCGTATTTTCAATATTATTTTTAAATTAAATAATTTATTTTTTATGAAATAGTGCAAATTGAACTCAAAATTATCAAATAATTTGTTTTAGGGGTAAAATAGTAAAATCAGAGAATTTCAAATCCCGAAGGTTAGATCCAACACAAACAACATTATATATTTAAAGTCTCTACAAAGTAAAAAAACATTATGCCTCTTTTCAGATTTCTGACACTTTTAGTATCTTTTTAACTTTCCAGATTTCGGATTTCAAATTTATCAAACGCCACCTAAATAAATAACCCTATAATCAACCCAACCTCACCTTCATCCATTAAGGAGCTCAAAGTCTCTTTAATAAAACTAGCCTTTTCAATTGTCACAATAGCCCCTTCCACAAATACACAAAAAATAACCACAAACAGGGGCAGAGTTTCATGTTTTGATTGGGTGATGTAGCCCGAGTCTCCACCTATGACTATGATCTAGCCAACTTTATTTCACGTTCTATAAAAGACTAATAATTCCAATTTATTAGATTAGGATAACTTCATCTTACATCGGTAAAAATTCAAATGCTACCCATTTGATTGATGAGAAATTTTCTAAGTGCTTGATTAATGAAGTGTTCATCAGAAAAAAAAAAAAAAAAAAAAATCTATAATGGAGTTGTTCCTATTTCAGTTTATTTAGCTTGTGAGTATTATCCAATAACAAAGGTTCTATAGAAGAAAAAGTTCCTTCTTTTTATGAAGGATTCTGTGTATTTACATCTATTAGACAGCCTTTGAATAATATGGAATTAAGGTTCATTGTATAAGTTTGGGTAAAGAATAGTCCACCCTGCCCAACTCCCCTGTTAGGTCTTATACAAGAATAATAGTATTTGATTTTGCCTGAAAAAGGGGGGAAAAGAAGCCAGCTCAAATTGTTTTAAAAACTTACAGTACTTGTATGAAATGAAATCATCAGTGGGTCTCTTCCCTGTACACATCATTGTGGGTTGGAACATCTGTCCCCAAACCTTCTCTGTGATTCATATAACTCATATTAATTAGAGATCAAATCAGCCCCCCACAACATCTTACAGCATATTCCTATCGTGTATTGAAAACATCTCTCGATGATAATCTTAGAAATGATGATGTCATCATCAGGAAATGTTTTCAATACAGGGCGGGAATGTGCTGTGGGACATTGTGGGGGGCAATCTTGTGAGGGGCTGATTTGAACTCTATTAATTAGTATTCTCTATCGAAAATTAAGTCTGATCAATCTTGTCTACAAAAGTATAAATGAGATGATTGAAGTTGCATCTTAATCAAGGGATTAAATAAAATTAGGATTCAGAGACAATTATTTTCTTGTCAAGAAATTTATGTTGGCGGTGCATAAAGAAGTTCAAATGATATACTGCTATTATGGTCAAAGTAAATGAATAATAAGATATTTAACCAGTGAAATAGTAAGGTTACCTAGAGTAGAATATCCAATGGATCCTCTTACACCAATCATGGTGGTCTGAAGATTACTAGTGGATTCTGAAAGGAACTTTGTTAACCCAAAATCATGGACATGGGCACTCATCCCACTATCGAGAAGAATACATTGTTTGGCTTTAGATCACAATGAATTACAGGAACTTGACAGTGATTATAAAGATAATCTAAAGCAAAAGACACATCAATGGCAATGCTTTGTCTTTGAAGAAGGTTTAAATTCTTTTGTTGGTCTTATCTGCCATCCACTGTTCGATGCAACCACATAGCTAGCCTCAAACTAAAAGCTTTGAAATCAATACCTTCAAAGTCTATGTTCGAAACAAGAAGTAATGATCTTAACAAGAAATCAATGTCAGATGTATATCAAGGATTCACACTCAGTGTTTTAAAAGGCGTGGGAGACATACGCTTGAAGGTGTACCTCCAGGTGAGGCACCCCCAAAATGCCATGAGGTGAGAGGCGTTGATACCTCTGAGGTGTATGCTTTGAAGGGATGAGAGATCCATCCTATGGACGCCCAAAAGATTGCGGAATAAGGGGCGAATTTCAAAAATTTTTCTCTCCCWTCAAYTGRGAATCGTATTCCCCATTTAGAAAATCATATTTTCAATGATCAATTCTGAACCATAAACTGAACCAGATCTGAACCAAAAAG